TAATGCATACTTCAGTGATGGCTATCGGGAAGATTCATTATTAGAAAGCATTAGCAAGTCGAAGATTCTAACTCAGGGCTGTTGTCGCAATAAAAGCTGCCCAAGCGATAAAGCTCGCTTCTATGCATTCATTCCCTTTGTCCTGAAGCCTCTTTGTTGTTTTTTAAACATATTTTAGTTTTCTGGCGTTCCAATGGAGACAGTCATCTGCTGAGTAAAGATACAAAGATATGAAAACAAAAATATCAATAAGAAGGAACGATTTATATATTTGTTTGTAGGTGATGAGCACTGGCCAATTCAAAATAATGAAGAGTTTTAAAAATGTTGACTCTTTTCTTTTTCTAGAAAAGACTGCATTACAGTCCATACAAACTGTATCAAAAAGAACGAAACTTTTCACTTCACGTTGATTTTGTGTTTCTCTTCAATGCATGTAATAGTTCTAAGCAAGAGGCCTCTCATTCTAAATTTTAAAGATGTGTCTGGGCGGTTCATAAGGATTTTGTAGTGCAAAATCAAGGCCAATGACTATTAAAATCCAACCCAAATCATTTCTTCACGCTGCTAAAATGCTCCTATCACACTGTCTCCTAGTTTGGTCTCACTGGCTGATAAACCCTGGATACATGTTCTTATCCATGAACCGGAATCCATCTTGGTTATTTCTCTGAATCCAGAAACTGGCTCAGCCAAAGCTGGGTGAGTGGGAGGGCGTTCAACCACAGCATGTTCTCCCCTCAGGACAAAAACCTTTACCAACAGGATTGCATGAGCTGAGAGCGGAGTAAAGAATAGTTGCTCCTTTGTCATGTTCTCTCTCTTTCTCTGTCTGGGTTCAGGAAGAACTTGTGCACCTTACAATAAACATTCAGCCCACAAAAATACATTGAAACCACTGGAAATGAAGTCGTCCCACCTATTGAAAAGTTTCCACCACCTGGGAAAACAACCTTGCAAGGGCCAAGCCAGTCACCTAGGAAAACTTCACCCAGGCCTGAGAGGCCCCAGGTGTGCAGCTCCCACACCAATCAGAACGTGTATGGTTGGCAAACCCCGTGACACTCTCCAGGGGCTGTTTAAAGGAAATGCTGGCTCTCGTCCCCAGAGCACATTTTAAGGAATCACAAAACCTGAGAATCAGCGGCCGCTGAGTGGAAGTTTGGGTCCTTAGTGAACCCGGATGAGGCGGTAACACAAGGACGTCTGCAGGTGTCCCTGCTCTTAATCCGGCGCCCCTTCCACCACAGACCCCTTCATCCTGCAGGACCTGCTGGAGCAGCACAGAGCAGGGGTTAGGACAAGCCCTCGCCCAGCTGAGAAGGGACAGGTGCCGAATGGCCAGATATTTCAAGCGTCCATCGAACAGCCAGCCCCACAGACTCTGGTGGAGGGAGCACGGTGCTGTGTGATTCAAAGGGCAGGCTTAGCCGCAATCTTGCTAAAAGAACAACATCTGTCCCTTCTTGAGGGCGGGGGCGGCAAAGTAAACAGCCTTTTCGGGGTCTGGGAGCCTCTGGAACTGCTTCGCTTACGGTACATGTTTCGCCCCTGAGTGTTTCCCCCTTGAATTTCAGGCCCAAGTGTATTTTAAGGTAAATGGATCCCGCACGCTTCTGATTCACTGGCACTGAATTCATCAGGTCACGCTGGGAAAGAGCGACCTGGGGCCCAAAGAGCCGGCTTCTATGAGTCTCTGGGCTTTTTTTTCCCCTTAGGATCAGGAAGCCACCTTTTCACACAGACAAATAAAATGCAAGCTCTAGACTAGAGATTCGGGTCTAGTTCCCAATGTGGCACCTCTGAAACCAGTGGGTCCTCAAGGCACCAGGACAAAGCTCCCCTTCCCTCTCTCCCAGAAGTTCAAGGCAGCCTTACCCGTGTGCAGGGTTGAACCTGGACCGGTAATTCAGAGCTGCTCCATGCAGAGCTCACATCAACCTTCAGCGGCCCTGACTCCATGCCCACTCCCGAGGCCTCAGCCTCCGACCCAGCGAGCAAGCGCAGCCCGGCTCAGGGCCC